TTAACAATTTTCTGACTGACTCTATTCTGCCTTTTCCTTCCTTGGGAATGGGTGGGAGCAGAGATATTCTTGGCATGCTGTGTCTAGGTGGAAGTGCTGTATGTCTTTGATTGGTGTGCTACCTGCTAGCCCAAGTGAGGAGGGACAAGGTCTTTGTGGCACAGGCCTTGGCAGCCTTGGAATGTGTATCCTCACCCCAAGTTTGGCTCTCAGCCTCAAAAGAGCTCATAGGCAATTAGCCATGCATAGCCTTTGCACCCTCTAGGGAACCAGATAGTCCCACGGCACAGAGGAAGGTATGCATAGGCAGAGGGTGTGCAGACACAGCCCTAGCACTCCCAGGAAAGTAGTTGTCCCATTGCACGGGAAGGGTGTGTCTTGCTTTTCTTTTCGTTAATCAGTCCACACATCATGAGGTGGGGACCAGATTGGAAAATAGTTTTGCCTTATTGCTCTTAAAGACAATAAAAGGAGGAGCTGTAGGGAGCCACCAGGATGTGGCCTTGGCCAGATAGTGCCAGCAGTCCTACAGCCTGGAGGTATACATATCCTTTGATGTTGCCGCCTTAGGCCGGTGTGCTCGGAGCCTTGTTTTGCATTTCAAGAGACTCGGTCTCCTGACCTGTCCTGTGGCCTTGGGTCCTAGTAGAATGGCATCAACCAATCAGCATTCGAGCTCTCTCACCCTAGAAAAGCGGCTGTCTTTGGGTTTTTCGCTCTCTCTCGTCATCCCTGTTCCCCATTCCCCCTTTCAATCAAGGAGCTCTAATAAATTGTGATTGAGAAGGATTCTTGATTTTGTGATCGTCCATTCCTGCTGGTCAGGAAGCGCGTCACAATTCTTATAATATTTCTTAATTATACATTACTTTTTTAAATGTCCTGGACAAACACAATACCTTAATCAAGATCAGAAACAGATATACACAGTATAACAAAAATGAACTGAAATTTGTATTAATAAACCAAGATCCCTACCAATGCAAAGTATCCATTTCTGTAGCAGAGGTGGTAGATGATGCCAAGGAGACAGAGTTTTCAGTCACAGTAGGGCTGGTGCACATGCAGACTCACAGAGTCTCTGACAGCATTGAGAAGACCTACACACATTCAAATCAGACTCAATACCAGCATGGGGAAGGGGAAGTAGGCACAAAGTACCACCTCTAACCTAGAAATTATTTGCAATTGGTAGCTTCTGGGAGAGGGGAATCAGATTCCTTCATTGAAGTAATACTGGGTGCTTAACTACATCAGGGCAGGCTGCATGTTCAACACAAAGTAAACTCCAGCTGGTTTTCTTTTGTTCTGCTTTTTTAATGCTTTTTGTTTGTTTGTTTTATTTGGGATCTGTTTATTTTTTCTTTTGAGAGAGAGAAAGAATATGAAATGGGATGGTAGGAAGTGGAGTTTTCTGGGAGGAGTTGAAGGAGGAAAATGATCATGAACAAAATGCATTGTATGAAAAACTTTAAAATTAAAATTTTAAAGAGCCTAAAATAGAAAACTTTTTAAACCTTTGACTCATTTTCCCTGATCTTCCTGAATAGATGCTCCCTTCTAGTTTTTACTGTTTCTCAAGTGACAACATCAACTACTCCCTGGAACGAATTGATTTGCATTTCTATTTAGTGCCAGTTTCCCCAGAGGGTTTTTTAAATATTGTAGCTTCTCACTGCTATGTTAGATTTTAAGGTGAGAGTGATTGTTTCTTGAACTTTCTATAATCTAACTACAAAACTTTTTGTATGTCTTTTTCTTTCATGCATCATCTATGGGAAAACACATGAAATTAAAAGTAGGACATTTAGGAATATGAAAAAGAAAAAATGGAAAGGGAAATAATAATAGTAACAGATGTATAAATTAGATCAAATCACATTAAATGCATATGCAGAACATCATAATAAAAGCCCTTACTTTGTATCATTAATATGCCAATAAATGTGTTAATAAAAGGAAATGTGTATTACCCTATAAAGATTTCAAACTTTGTATTTTGAGTTAACCCATCTCTTATTAAAAACAACATTGCTTATAAATCTTGGAATTTATCAATATGTTAATACTTGATGTAAAGCAGAGTTGTAATAATTTAGTTTGGGGATATATGTTAGGGATGTATTAGTATCAAATATTTAGCTGATGAATTATGATTATGGGTAGTATTCCATACTATATCTCATATCCTTCTTTTATACAAATATGTATGTTTATGTATATTTGTATGCATGCTGTGTGTGCACATGTGTGAAGGCTTACGTATGTGTGTGTTTTTCATGTGAATTTTACTTCACAAGTATCCACCACTAGTCACAGCCTTTTTATGTTGGTACAAACTCAGAAGTTCATGTTTACTGACTAAGAACCCTGGTCTCAAAGGTTATATTATTTGTTTTTCTTTGAGAAAGGATCTCACTATGTAGCTCTGACTGGCCTAGAACTTGCTATGTAGATTGGTTGGTCATCCTCCTGCCTGTATCTTCTGAGTGCTGGGATTAAATGAGTGTGCCACCATGCCTGGCACAGTTCATGTTGTTTAAGACAAATTTAGAGTTATATAATGATAAAACAAAGGAAGAATAGAGGTTTTTCATAAGTGATAAATTCTCAGAATTGGATGTCATAATGCTTAATCTTGTATCAACTTGACTAGACTGTGAAAAATGTTTCCTCATATATTCCCTAGTCGAGAAGGATGTCGCCAATATCAGGACCACCAGAGTTGGACATGCAGGGAAAGAAGAAATGCTCAGTTCCCATTCTGGTCTGCTGGTCTCTCCAGTTTCTATGCAGAGCCTGGCTCTAGTAAGGTTATGAAAAGAATGAACCTGGATGATGCAGTTTCCTGGGATTGAATAACTGTTGTGCAGGGTAGCACAGTTAAGGAGGAAACACAGATTTGTAGGGAAAGAATAGAACCCAAAATAACCTGCAAAGGAAGAAAGGTGGAGGGTCAGTCAATATGTTCATTCTTGTCTCAGTGGGTTCCTTAATGCATCACTCAGCTAGACTTAGGAGGTCAATGATAAGAACACAAGCTAATATTTATTGTTGACTCAGAAATAGGGTTTGTTGTTCCATTTGGTTCCCCCATTATAAGACAGTGTTTGTCTTAAGGCTCTGTGTGCATACAGACAAACTTTTTCTCTTATGAGAGGCATCCTTCTCCTCACACTATCTTTCTTATATAGTAGTGAAAATATAGAATGCTGATATATTTTATCTTAATGTTTTGTTTAAACCTGGGCTTTATCAAAATACTGGTCATTCTTCCTTGTTCAGAATTATCAGAGAACCCAAGTATAACACAAGGTGAGAGATGACAGCAGACACATCCTTGGGTTCAAGGTCAGATGATGGCAGGGGAGAATTTCCAGGAAGAGGAAGGACATCGTGGACAAGGCATTTCCTAACTGGGATTGCATCCTCATGCAGTATGTACTGAGGACATGGAAGGAGTGACTCTCAGGACCTCACCGGGAGTCTTCTCACATCTCAGCCTCTTCAGCAGCCTCATGAAGTGAAGGTTGGTGGGAGTTAGGTTGAATGAACTCTGCAACATGAACCAAGAAGAGCCTCAACTGTGAAGGCTGGAGTGGATTCATAGATAAAATGTATGTCTTTACTTGGGTCCTAGTTGTGTGAGAGAGAAACAAAATCCATGAGGATTTAAAAAATCTAGTTTTGTAAAACATCTTGGTGATGATTAATTGTAATCAGGGTTTCCCTGGACTTGTTTGCTGTGAGAGTTCCTGAACTCTGAAGGGCTGATGAGCCTTTTTTACTGAGTACTGAGTTTATTGATCTCAATGTTGGTTCTATCATACACTGACTTCCACCATACTGTGCTTCAGAATAATTCAGTGCATGGCCTTCCAGGTGTCTGTGATTTGTTTCTGTTCTTGTGAAAGCTAAGGCAGCACCGCTGAGAGAAGGCCCACAGCCCTCCTTCATAGGACCGCTCCCCTCAGCCCTCCTGTCCCCTTGGTTTGTGTGCAGCTTCACCTACAGTCTCCCTCCCTGTGCCACTCAGAGCACAGTAGTACAGGGCAGAGTCCCACAGCTGCCCTGAGGACTTCTGCAGGTGGAAGGAGCTGCTGCTCTCATGGAGAGTGGCGTGAATCCCTTGGTGCTCTGTCTTCTTGTTGTCTGTGGAGTTCTTCAGGAGTAGATGAGGGGCTTTGTTGAGATATTACACGTACCATAAAAGCAGAGGATCTAAATAAAGAGTCTGATAGTTGCAGCTCAGGATCAGAGATTCCCCTACTGTGAGAGTCACTGGACCATCTGTCTGAGTTATGGATTCTCCATTACTCTTCTCTATAAAGAAGATTGCTTTGTTACAGGGTAAGATGGATGAATTCATTTTAACTTTAGAAAAAATGGATGGTCATTAATACTTAGAAGACAGTGTTACTGAACATCAAGAGGATCATGATCTTGGAACAAATGACAGGAAACATGCTGGTAAAAATAAATGCTTCTTGCTTCATGCAGTACACCCTATTTTACAGGGCTGGGCTCCAGAAAGATTTTCTCAAAACTGTTCTCTCACAAGCAAAAGCTCTGCAAAACAGGAGTCTTTTGTGTGTGTGTTACTAAAGAGGAAATAGGTGTATTCAACTAAGGTGCCCCCAGTGCAAGTGAAACCACATATCAGACAGCGCTGATCTCTGGTGGTTTCTATGCAAACTGCACCAAAGTCTCCTCTATCATCGTCTTTAATTCTATGGTAGACACTGTCAGCAGGTGGTGTGTCCCCAAACTCCTAGTGGATGGCTGAACCTAATGTGGTATATGCTGTTTTTATAAACACACACACATACACACACACACAAACAATGATTTGTCTGTATGATAGAATTAGAGGATTAAATTTTCCATTTAATATTTTAGTTTTTTGCCTACTATTTTCTAATAAGAAACAATTAATAGTTATTAAAAGTTAAGAGCCTTTTCATCAAAATGAGTACAGTATTCTCTGCTAATGACACTGAGTTCCTAACCTAAAAGTTGGTTCTAGAGCCTCCACAACTAAGAATTCGTTTTCATCTGGTATTAACACAAAATATTTTAACACACATTGTATCTTTTGGAAACAGAATTTCAGGTTGTTAAAAAATGTCCCACTATTAATATAATTCAGAAATATTTTCGTATAAAAGGTGGAAAACTGTCTGTCTTTGTGGTCTCAGGTTTGTGTGCAGGCAGCAGGTGCCTGCGGAGCACTGTGCACTTGCTGCACAGAAGTATGTGGCTGAGTCCCCAGGATGGGCAACTGTGATGTTCAGGGAGAGACGTTTGTCCTCCTTATTCAGAAGGACAGTGAGTCTTTGTTCTTTTCTGTCCACATTTGAAAGAACATTCATAAGGAACTGGAGACCTGTTCCAGGCTCTTGCTTGTACCAGTAGAAGTAATAACTGTCTGTGTAGGTGCAGTTGATAACGGCACTGTCTCCCTCCTGGACACTCAGGAGATAGGGCTGCTGCTCCAGCTGCTCTCCTCTGCTCACACCTGTGCAAAAGGAAACATCAGGAAGACCATCAGGACACCACTTCCCAGACTTTCTTTCTCTTCCCATGGTGATTTCAGGAACCCTGGAGGAACCAGTCTGCTCCTCAGACTGATAATGAACATTGCCAAAAGCCTTGTTTCCCATAAGCTCTCACTCACAGTTCAGCTGCAGCCACAAGCACAGGACAAAAGGTTCAGTCAGTGTCTTCATTGCTTTCCTTGGGGAGAGTGGACTTCAATCACGCAAGATGTTTCTGTGTTCAGCTCCCCTCCTCTGTCCTCCACAGCACTGCAGGTTCCTCAGTTGTCTGCACAGATGGCTGCTGACTGTAGCTGCCCTTTCAGAAGTCAGCCAAAAGTCCCTTTATAAGTTTGCAGCAATGGAGATGCCCTGCCACCTTGTGGACAGATCCTGTCTGCCGCACCCTCCAATCCTCTTTTACATTATTATTTTTTATGTGCTACTTTAAAGCCTTTAGTCAAAATTATCCTTTAGAAAATAAAATGCATGATTGAGAAGTGTTCAAATATTATCTACCTGTAGCACACACTTCCACATATCTGCTATAATTTTAGAATAAATATTTCTGGGACATTCATGACAACTCAACCATTTTGCAGGTTATTCAGCACTGAGCAGGACTAGGAAACATTGAGATGGATCCTGCAGTAACATATTTCAGTGCTCTCCTGTTGCCCTGACACATGCAAAATGCTCAGGAGACATTGCCTCATTTAGACATTTGCCATCCAAGGTGTGAAAATTGGGGAGTTTCTGGAGCTAAGGTTAATCTGCTGGAAAAGCACCACCGAAACAAGTTATCTGTGCCATGCCTAAGTATGTGAAGAAAGGAATCCCCTAACAGTACTAATATTTTTGAGCAACTGACCCATGGCCACGAGAAGGACAGATAGGTTCTGGTGAATAATACTTGGTGACTTCAGTGCTCACTCTTCTTTTGAAGGTATTTATGACCTCCATGCCACCAAACCCCAACTCACAGAAATTCTAAAACAAAACAAAACAAAACTAGCAACAAAACAGCAAAAATTTTCAGAATTAAAATCCATGGTGTGTCAAATGGGCTTTGCCAACCATTACAGAACATTCTACTCTAGAACTGTGGAGTATACAGTCTCTACAGCACACAGAGTGGTGTAGGAGGTCCTTCTGTATTTGTGTTGCTTTCATTGGTTGAATAAAGAAACTGCCTTGGTATTTTGATGGGGCAGAACTTAGATAGGTGGGGAAGACAGAACTGGATTCTGGGAAGAAGGGCAGTGGGGCAGACACCATGATTCTTGTGCCTGAGACTGACACTGGTTAGAATCTTTCTCAGAAAGTTACAACCTCATGGTGAACACAGATTAATAGAAATGGGTTAGATCAAGATATAAGAGTTGGCCAATAAAAATTTAGAGCTAATGACCAGGCAGTAATTTAATCAATACAGTTTTCTGTGTGGTTATTTCAGGTATAAGCTAGCCAGATGGTTGAGACAACAAGCAGGCCACCAGCCCAAGTGTAAGCCAGTATGGAACTGGACACAGCCTGTTCCTCCTTACAATAGAGTGGTACCCAATGTGGTAAACTGACTCCACATAAAATCTGAGAGAACTTCAAAAAGAATACAGAGCTTAACAGAGTTTTTACTGTTTGCTTGCACTCTGCTGCAGAAAGTATTTCCTGATTCAGCAGCCATTAAAAAAAAAGCTGTGCCATTTTAAAACAAGGCTTCCTGGACCCAGCCACCAGTGCAAACTCCCAGCTATGGGGCATTTCTGGGCCCAAATGTTTGTATGCCCACTTGGGATTGGTAACAAAGTATCTGAGAGTATGCCTGTATCTCAGCTCTTCCTGCCTGGGCAGATGCGGTATCAGGCTTAGGCAGGTGGAAGAGCATGGTGGATTTCTGCCACCATACAGAGATATGTTTCCAGGCTGCACAGTACTCTGTGTGGCAGATTTGGCTATAACTCAGATAAAAAAGTGTTTATGTGTTGCACGCTCATTCTCTGGGTTGGACTGTTGAGCGCAGCTCCTGCCTCGCAGTTCCAGAGCTAGCAGAAATGGTGTGTCCACTATTTGGAAATTGGAGAAAGACAGAGCCAACATCCAGAGCAGCTGCAATCGAGCTGCTTAACATTTTAAAAGCTCTTCAAGATAGTAGAGAATTAAAAACAATGCAATAGGACAGATTCAGACACAAAAGACCTCTAAATGGGCCATAGTGTTAAATAAACATATGTAGGCTTGAAAGAGAAAATAAAAGGAGTATAGACAGTCATTAAATAAAGTTAATGCTTAAAGAAGGGTAAAGTCTTTAAAGAGACAGAGTACAGATAGTCGTAGATAAAAAATAAAGCCATGTAAAAATAGAAAATTAACAGACAGTCTAGATTGTATGTGTTATTGTGTTTTCTTTCAATTTTTTGATTGTGAAGGCGCTAAGTACAAAGAGACATTTCATTATATGGGCTAAGGTAATCCAGCATGTGTATTATAAAGATATCGTGACTTCAGAATTTGTGTCTAAGGATATGATGCTTTTGAAAAGAGGTTCTTCTTTTGTTTTCACAGAGGATGAGAACCTGTGGATTCCTTCTAGACCAATATGGTAAAATAGACCACACCCTCCTGAAATGTTGCTGTAAACACTCTCAAAAACTTATCTTGCTCAACTGCTGCCTGAGATGAAACTAGCATATAGGATACACCATGAAAGACCTGATTGACAGTGTCCCCATATAGCACAAAGCAGTTTAAAAAGAAAAAACTGTGCCCATATTCCCAAATTTTGTTTATAAATGATTTTTTACATTTAAAAGGGGATATGACATAGATATAACTAATTTGCATTTGTATGAATCTTGGTTTGTTGATATAATTTTAAGGTCAATTTTGTTATATGTATGTGTATTTCTGATCTTGATTAAGGTATTGTGATTGTGTAGTTCATTCAAAAATAAAATGTATAATTAGGAAATATAGGTTGTTAATGAATAATCATTGATAATAGTCAAACTTGTAGTCATGTTAATTAAATTCTCTAGATTATATAGAGATACATTTCAGTTAGATAGGCATTCTTCATATCTTTCAAGGACTACAGAATAGGGCATTTCAAATATTTTAATAACTTAAGGCTTTTCATGACAATGAGACACTTCTGTTCCTGACAGCACCAATCTATTTCAAGAGGAAAATGGGCATTGAAGAGACTTCTTATGGAGTTGGTTAGACATTCAGACAAGAAACTTCTCTTGCCTGGACTGTTGCATAAACTGGACACAAAGAACCCGCAGAGAGAGGACTGCTGAACTTGCCTAAAGGTGAGATGGCCCTTCAGGGTTCCTGATTCATGAAAGAGTCAGCTAGACATTCTGTAGAACATAGAAGAAAGTGACTAAACTGTCTTTGAAATTTCCTGCTTCATGGAAATGTCTTCTGGATACTATGGGCCTGTAGGTTGAAGATTGATGCCCCAATGGTACAGGAAAACTTTGGGTGACTGTCCAGCCAGCAGGATGTCTCTGTCATTTCTAGAGTTTTAGAAGTTGCTTACTTCTTGTTTACTTATGTAATATTACATCCTTCTGGAGTCTTTGATGGAGTTGAAGAAGAGATAGATAGTTATAGTTTTCTTTAATTATGGTAAAAAGATAAAATAGATCTAAATATTATAACTGTAATTCTTGCTTGATAAATGTTTTATTATATGTAATTTTACTATGTTAAAGCCTTCTTTTTTGTTTAAACAGAAAAGGGGAAATGGTGTAGGAGATCCTTCGGTATTTGTGTTTCTTTCATTGGTTGAAAAAATAAACTGCCTTGGTATTTTGGTGGGACAGAATTTAGATAGGCAGGGAAGACAGAACTGTATTCTGGGAAGAAGGGCAGTGTGGCAGGCGCCATGATTCTCCTGCCTGAGAGTGATGCTGGTTAGAATCTTTCCTGGTAAGCCATGACCTTATGGTGAACACAGGTTAATAAAAATGGGTTAGATCAAGATCTAAGAGTTGGCCAATAAGAAATTAGAGCTAATGGCCAAAAAAAAAAAAAAACTACAGAAACTACACAGTTGCATGAATATAGAAAAAAAGACCAGACTCACTGAAAAAGAAACATGGGAGAACATTAAATTTTCACAGACCCTAATGAAAAATGAGAACATGCACTATAACCACCTCTGAGGTACATCAAAAACAGTTCTAGGATGACCAGTTGACTCCATGGGTAAAGACAATGATTGCCATGCCTGACAACCTGAATTCAATCCCCAGTACTTTCATGGTGGTAGGGAAGAACTGACACCCACAATTTCTCCTATGACATCCGTACAGATGCCATATTTATGACAAACACAGAACAAAATGCGTGCATTTGAAATATGCAAACAATTAAAAATACATTCTAATAGAACTCTTTGAAGTTTTAAATGCTTTTGTTAGAAAATCAGACAGCTAACTCTCTCTCCAAAAAAATCTGTCAATGACTCATCAACTAGGGGTGGGGCAGTATTTGTGCCTGCACCCCCTTATTGTTGAGATTTTTGTCTACACTGAGTGTGGGCAGTTCTGTACGTTCTGTCAAAACTGCTGTGACTTCCCTGGTGTGTCTGGAAAACATTGTGTCCCCACAATCATCTATCACCTCTGCCTCTTACCGAGTCCTGGAGGGCAAGAAAGAACATTGGCAATATCCTGTAGTCAGGTGCCTTTAAAATCTCCATTGCCAACAACTCCAAAAAAGTTAACTTTTTCTGATCTCTGGGTTTTTGTTTAGTAGCCCATAGTATCTAGTAGTAACTTTATCACCCTATCACAGGGTAACTAAAAATCCATTTTAACTTTTTTTGTACATGTGTAGATATGCAATTTAGGAAGATTCTACAATGGTAAGTTTCCTTATGAGTTGCTTGAAAGACCATTAGTGCTGTTTATCCCTCCCCACAATCTCTATCTTACCTTCCACACCTTACTCCAATTTAACCCTTCCTGCTACATTATTCCCCATTAATCTTTGGACTGCTGAATTCTATTCATCATTATTCTTTATTAATCTTCTGGCTTCTATTGGTTTCCCAAATGAAACACACATATCTGAAGACTCAAAGCTAATAAATGAGAGAAAACATGTGGTGTTTATCTTTCTGGTTCTGAGTTGTCTTATGCAGAATTATTCTTTTCAGTTCTATCTACTCACCTGATAATTTCCTAATTTCATTTTTCTTAATAGGTAAGTCATATTTCACTGCAGAAGTATCCAATAATTTCATTATCTATTTATCAGTTGATGAGTATCTAGGGTGTTTCTATTTCT